CGATGGTCAGGGAATTACCTGAGGCTGGTGTTCAAGCACAGAAAATATGGTTCTACAAGATCTTGTTTCTTGACAGTCATACCATATAATCACCCTTTTCCTCTGGAAAAGCAGTACTCTAGTATAAAGGCTGCATGTTTATGCTTGCAATTTAGATTTGTGGAGTCACTGTTATTGACAAAAATTTCCTAATCTGCTTCTTACCAGTCTTGGGACATTTACTTAATTTTTAATTTTTAAATGACAGAGTCTCCATGTGTCACCCAGGTTGGAGTGCAATGGTGAAATCATAGCTCACTGCAGCCTCGAACTCTTGGACTCAAGTGATCCTCCTGCCTCAGACTCCCGAATAGTTGGAACTACAGGCATGTACCACCACACTTGGCTACTTTTCCATTTTTCCTTAGTAGAGACCAGGGTCTTGCTATATTACCCAGGCTAGTCTTGAATCCTAGCCTCAAGCGATCCTCCGTCCTGGGCCTCCCAAATGCTAGGATAACAGGCATAAGCCGCTGTGTGCCAGCAGTATTTATTTTCTTGTTGAGAGCATCTAGGTGTGGCCATCTTTGACAGTGTAGCATTAAAGGTTCCCTGTTCCAGTCACAACTAAACAAGCAACAATAATACTCAGATATTAAAGTGATCATTCAGAGCTGGCAGCTTCATCTTTAAGAGAAATGTAGCCCTCAGAGACAACAAAGAAAAACAAGATATTTTAAGGCTGAGTAAAATCAAAGACTTGTAGGTCATTTGACAGCCAAGCAATGCCATTGTGAAAACTCCAAGAGAAGGTGGAAACTGAGGAATTGCTTTAGGATCATGTTGAATGTCAAGAAAGAAAATCAGGATGAAGAAAATTCCCAAATTGTAATACAACTTAGATCCTTCAACAAAGTTACTGCTCCTTAATGCTGTTGCCAAATGCTATTTTAATCAAAGCCAGCATTCACTGGAGCTCGATCCTCAGAGCACAGCTATTTTCACCAAGAGAACTCCGACAGCGTACCAGTGAGAAGCTCAGAGTGATGTTGGCATCATTTAACTGGATTGCCATTCGTTGCTTCCTGAAGAGATAGTGAAATGTTATTTTGATTTTATTATTTTTTTGAGACAGGATCTCACTCTGTTGCCTTGACTAGGCTGCAATAGCATGATCATGGCTCATTGAAGCTTCAGTCTCCTGGGCTTAGGCAATCCTCACACCTCAGCTTCCAGAACAGCTGGGACTATAGGCATAAGCCACCATGTCTGGCTGATGTTTGTTTGTTTATTTATTTGTTTGTGACGGAGTTTCACCCTTGTTGCCCAGGCTGGAGTACAATGGCGTGATCTCAGCTCAATGCAACCTGGGTCTCCCTGGTTCAAGGGATTCTCCTGCCTCAGCCTCCCAAGTAGCTAGGATTATAGGCGTGTCCCACCACACCCAGCTAATTTTGTATTTAGCTCTGTGTTGGTCAGGCTGGTCTCAAACTCCCAACCTCAGGTGATCTGCCCACCTCTGCTTCCCAAAGTGCTGGGATTACAGGTGTGAGCCACTGCGCCTGGCTGACTTATATTTTTTTAATTTTTATTTTTTGTAGAGACAGGGTCTGGCTATGTTGCCCAGGCTGGTCTTGAACTTTTGGTCTCAAGTGATCCTCCTGCCCTGGCCTTCCAAAGTGTTGGGATTACAGGTGTGAACCACTATGCCTGATGTTATTCATTTTTACTGATACTGGTAGCCACTTTCTATCTAAAAAGACAGACTACATCCTGGTGTTGGACTCTTATGAACACATCCCTTTCCTACTGATATGCAAATATATCTCAATTATATCAATAATCTCATAGACCTCACCTTTTTTCCTTCAAAAATCTTAGTCACTATAGCTATCAAAAGTCTCTTATCATTTGACAAATATACTAATATGTATATAATGAAGGCTAGAAAAAACATGCTGAAGTGAAAAAGGAAATGGAAGAAATTAATAGACTGAATAGAAAGAAAAGGCTTATGTAGTATTTTCAACTCATGGGGGGATTTAACAGAGATCTTTTTACACATTCCAAGCCTATCTTCCTAGCTGTTTTATTTCCAGTATAGGAAAGGATTAAGCTGTTTTAATTTCACAAAAGTACATACGCATCTGTGATGGTTAATTTTGTGTTGACTTGACTGGGCCATAGGGTGCCCAGATATCTGGTCATATATTATTCTAGATGGTTATGTGAGAGTGTTGTTAGATGGGATTAATGTTTAAATTCATAGACTCAATAAAGCAGATGCCCCTCCATAATACGGGTGGGCCTCATTCAATTAGTTGAAGACGTAAACAGAACAAAAGACCAACCCTCCCCTGAGTATGAGAGAATGCTCCTTGACAGATGTTTCTGGTTCCACAGCAGCCTACCAACCTTTGGACCTGAACTGGGACACTAGCTTTGCAGATTTTGAACTTGCTGGGCTTCAGAGTTACATGAGCCAATGTTCATAAGAAATATATTTAAATATCTCTCCATTGCACTCTTTCTCTATGTGTGTGCATATCCTATTAGTTATGTTTCTCTGGAGAACCCTGACTAATATAGCATCTCAAATAGATGTCAGAGTTAGGATTGAGACTTGCCAGTACATTTTGAGTACTGATAAGTCCTTTCAGCCTTAAACAGAACTCTTAATTCAACTGATAAATGGCAAGCTATTACAATGCAAATGCAAAAAAAAAATTTGTGTGTTGGATAACAATTCTTTGTTATATTAAGAGCTAACCATTGTCTGTTTCCAATCAGTAATTGTAAGATTAAGTCTTAGTCAATTAAGATTAAAGCCCAATATCCATAGATTTTCCCCAAGTGCAAGTCCAATCTGCAGTTGATAGTGAAGGTTATTACTATGACTATAAAAATACAACCAGTAACCAAATAGTTATATCTTCATGGTTATTTAGAAGACATGAAATTCATAGCCCAAGTATACTAACTTAAAAACATGGGCATCCATGGCTCAGTCAGGCTGACACATAAAATTAACCAGATGTATATGTACTTGAAAAATTCAAAAAGCTTAGTTTTTCCCTTAATGCCACTCTTGGTCATGGTTCAGGCACATACAGTTGCTCTAGGCAGTTCATTGGCTTACTAAATGAACTCTTCCTATGGACATTGGCCATGTGTAGTTTTAGTGACACATGAGTGGTTTTCTAAGTGTTCTGTTTGTATTTTCCTGTAATTGAAATAAAAACAGTAACACTTCAAGTGTATGTTTTAGAAAAATCTGGTGGTATTCAAGAGAGGTGAGAAGCACATTTCTTTAAACATTCTATTGAGCTTGTGTTCAACTTCCTTACATTTAGGAAGGGGGAAGGCTTTTTGAAGGCGGCAAATGGTTAGTATACATTTATTGGAGAGCACACCCAAAGTACAACTGGTGGGTAGGTGGTCTTCCATTACAACCTCCTGCATTTTATCTGATGGATGCAGGATAATCAGTGCTTATACTAGCAAATAAAGGCACTGCAGGCTATCAGGAAGTGCTCATTTCAATGTACTAATCATTTTAACCAATGTATGAACCACACAGATTTAGTTTGAAAATACAACAGGTAGCAGGTGCCTGCCTTCAAGGGTACTCAGTCATACTGAAGTGGAAAAATAAAACCAACTTAGATATTTCCTCCATACTGACATCTTCCAAAAGTAAAGGTGACGCATCTCCCAAAGATCACAAACTAGTAAGCTATGGTATTTTTTGCTGGGCATTTCCCAAGGAATTTTCCAAGAAGGCAAACAGTTCTAGAGAAATAAGTGCTCAGTCTTGTGTTTTTTAAAGATCCCAGCAAAATCAGTACACCTTGGCTCATCTGAGTGGGTGAGTGAAGAAGAGATCCATATCAATTGTGTACCTACACTGTGCCATATACAACATTCAAATATGTTATCATTTAGCCTTGATAATACTAAAATGTGGGTATTATAATTGGTCATTATAGTCAGAGAAGTCAAGAGGTTAAGCAACTTGCCCAAAGATCACAAAGTAAATAAGGAAGAGAACCAAGTTCAAACTTTCTCTTTGACTCTACTTGACCCTCCCATGTCTTATAACCCAGGCAGATAGTCCCTTGGTGATGGTAATAATGTAATCTCAGCAATAAAGCAAAGGCTTGAGAATTTTCTAACAAACATTCTACTTGTTACTCTGCCAGATCAGTGTGATATAAAGCCACCCACTTCCTCAGGTATCATTCTCCTTTCCCCAATCTTATTTTTTTAAATTTTTTATTTTTTAATTTGAGATGGAGACTCACTGTGTTGCCCAGGATGGAGTGCAGTGGTGTAATCTCAGCTCACTGCAACCTCCACCTCCCAGGTTCAAGCAATTCTCCTGCCTCACCCTCCTGAGTAGCTGAGATCGCAGACATGCACCACCACACCCAGCTATTTTTTTTTTTTTTTAGTAGAGACTGGGTTTCACCTTACAGGCTGGTCTTAAACTTCTGACCTTGTGATCTGCCTGCCTGGGCCTCCCAAAGTGCTAAGATTACAGGCGTGAGCCACCGTGCCCGACCTCCCCCCTCATTTTTAAGATAACAGTCATAACACATGTTCCTTGCCACAGAACCCATGGTCTGTAAAGAGTTATTAAATGCTTTACTGCGCTGCAAAATTCTTGGGGGGAAACACAAGCATGGAGTGATCGGTATCAGAATTTCACCAAAATTAAAAATGGTAGCTTCTAAAAATCTAAACTATTTTCTTAAGTATTTTCTCTTAAGATGTTATTGAATTAAATTAATAATTATACACATCTACAGAATGCACAGTGAAAAAAATATGCATTTATACTATCTCTATTAAAATGCATTTGTCTGCTTTTCTGCACTTTTTACCTAATTTCTTTTTGCCCTTAGCAATTTGGCTTTCTGCTAACTCATTTAACCACATTAATGGCTGTAGCTTCCTTTCTTGAGATGCATAACAGATATTATGAACAAACACTGAAGATGCTAAACCGAAGGTGTTACCTAGGATGCAAAGACCATCTGTGCAGTTTTCGGATTCCTGGCTTAGACCTTCACAGAATTTGCCCCCATTTCTTGGGGCTGGTGCTGTGCACTCCCGGATCCGCAAATGTTCACACTCTGGACTGCAGACGGACCATTCGCTCCACACTTCCCAGCTCCCGTCCACTTCAAAGGGAAACAAAGGAAACCATCATTAGAATGAATCAAGTAGCTGTCAGGAGACTCACCCCAGGACTGCTGTTGTTCTAGAGCTGGATTTTAAGGAAATAACCACCAAACAGTAACAAAAGAACGTATCTACTTATCTTCTCTCCATGGTTTCTTTCCTGAAGAGACAGGCTTACAAAAGCAGTGGTATAATACTGTTGCTATTTCAGAATAAGACCAATTACCAAATTTAGGCAAGCATTCGTATTTTCAGCACCACTGGGTTTGCTAAAAATTTGTCATGACCCATTCTTTCCCAGTCTTTCATGCCCAAGCACATCTTAGGTGGACAGATAAACGGTGTGCACTAACCACTGATAATCAGCCACTTTCTTAGGGGTTGATCATTTAGAACAAAGTGGAATGAACTATCATTAAGTCCTAGCAGCCCCTAAACAATACAAAGTTAAACCCAAATATACTGATAGTATTAAACTAAAACAGGTCAGTCAAACCTCAAGACACCAGGACTTATATAAATAGAATTTCTTGGGTCATGGACTGCTGCTGTATGTAGAAATGAACAAACTGAATTTAGTTCCACTAAAAAGCAACCCTAGAGATCATGGCAGATGTCTGAGGCAATTGCCCTTTACCTCCTAGGAATAGTTCAACCATGCTTATGTGGGTTATTTAAGTTACTGCAATTTTTTAATTTGAAGCAATTAGTCCAGAATAGGGTAATGTAAAAAAAAAATACTGAACTTGAGCAATATGTCTGCATCCTTGTCTTGGATCTGTCAACTTATCTCCTGAGCAACCCTGGGTGAGTTACTTAGCCTCGCTTTACCACGTCTGCCAACATCCCCACGTCTGGGGATAATAAAACTCACAACACAGGAGTAAAAGACATTACGTATGTAAAAGTATCCTGCACAGTACCTGGCACATAGTAAGCACTCAATAAATGTTTATTGAACATAAGTCCAAAATAAAACTCCAAGAATATGCTGTTGGTAAGAGCCCCACCTTAATTCCGATTGCAACTAAATTTGCAATTTTATTATAAAGACATGAGGCCCTAGTCTAGTGTCCTTGGAGTTAATGTTCTGTAGTACATGTGAGACCCAGGATCAATTTATTTCTCAGTGGGAGGATATGTGTTCCATAAAGTCACCTTCCATATCATCTATTTCTTGTTGTATAAATTGGGTTACAGCCAGTAAGAGACAAAGGAATTTACAAAAGCCATACTTGGTAAATGAAGTATCTCTTTTTACAGAAAGAAAATGTAAAACATAGACGGCTGTGACAGTGTACAGTTTCTACCAATTGTCTTGTAAAAATACAAAGCTAGAACTGAAAGCGTTATGATTAACTAATGATAAAGAGTCAAACATTTGTTACTCGTTCTTTTGTGCTTTAAGACAATTTATCTAATCCCTGCTAACTATTATACAAATACAGGCCACAAGATGGGAGAACCCAAGGAGAGAAGCAGATGGCTTAGCCCAACCAAACACTGGCAGTATAACAAGACTTCAGAGCAATTGGCTTATTGATGGTGAATGTTCAGTGTCATCTGAGTATTTAAAAATATGCCCCAAAACATCGCACAGAGGTATTTCACCCATGTTCCTGCCGCGACAATGAGCTCTACATTCACACCTTGGATAAAGGTTCTGTGCTAAGAACTTGGGAGAGGGTGACTTTGGAAAAGAAGGTAACATTGATTGCTTCACACCAGCTTAATAGTGTTGGTGGATCAGAAGGGAAAAGGGAATCTGCATATATCTCACCAGGACAAAGAGAAGTGCAGGTTATTTTCTGCACTGACATTCCCTCACAAAAGGCCCCACCATTGAGAGGAGCTGGGTTGGTGCAGGTCCGGGAACGTTTCTGCCATCCTCTACCACAGCGAACATTGCAGGCTGACCACTCTGTCCAGGAAGACCAGCCTCCATTCACTGAGAGAGAAAAATGGGGAGGGGAGAAAAAAAGGAGAGAGGTTTTTACTGATTGCCTACTATGTGCAAGCCACTGTGCCAGGTGCTGTGAGTCAGGCATCCGGGGACCGAGAGGCTGTGCAGCCCCCACTGACTGCTCCATCATGAGACAACAGTGGGGTCACCTCATCCAGTCCTCAGCCTATTCATCTCATATAGGAGGGACACAGAATTTGCCTTGCGGGAAAATTATAAGAAATAGAAAGAACTGATCAATAAATCTCTAAAGCACTTGAATATCCAGAGTATAAGAAGAAAATATCAGCATTTGAATATCTATGACTTTAAGTGCTTCAAAAATAAATCCCAGGGCTATTCTGTTGTGGAAGAGAATGCCTTTACTTAAACAGCTGGGAACTTCTTTTATACAATACTGAGATATTCTGCAAATAGTATTGTTTGTTTTTGGAGAATTTCACATACCGGGGGAGAGACTACCTGACAGCAGGTCTAGGAAACACTGGGGTGTGTGTTGGGTTTGAGAGGCGTGGGAAGCAGAAGTTGCCCATCTCAATTCTTTTCAAATACCAACATAATGGAAGAAAATAAACAACTTTTTATTATTTTTAAAAGAGAGATTGGAAATGTCACTGACTGTCACATGGAAGTCCAATATTGGATGGAACAGCAAACACATTAATAGAAACAGTGATGTTTTTTCACCTGCCAGATGGGGGGAGGCAGGATAGAGCACTGCAGTGAATGAACCCCAAGGTCTTTGCAGCTCTCTATATTCAAAGTTTTAATAAAACACACAACCCTCTACCTCTCTGCTTTCTGCCCTCCCTATCCATTCCTGGCCTTTGGGCTGGTCTTACCGTAGACCACCACAGTGGCAGACAGGCTTCTCCTCTTAGCCACGATGTTGGCTGCCATGCAGGTGTAATTTCCTGAGTCCGAGAGCCGTGCCTGCCTGATGATCAGGTTATGGTCAGCCCTGGTGTCAATGTTCTCGTCTTGTTCAGAGTCAATGGGCTCCTCATTTTTCAGCCATTCCACCTACAGAAGAAAAGAACGTTTACAAGTCACTAAAAATCCAGAACTCAATTCTGGAATTGCGAGGTGAGCAGATTCGAGTGTTCGAGAGAGATGTATCTAAAATATAGAGCAAGAACAATGATCTGTTTCTTTATTCCATATCCTGTTCCTTTTATTTAGTAAATTTGGTTTTATTCAGGAAATGGATACTCAAGCTAATAAACTGGAAGCAGGAAAAGAACACAAATACCCTACATTGACTTTGACCCATTTTCTAAGAATGCAGTGGAGGAGAGATAAGAGGTGACTGCAATTAGGCCAGTTCATTTCATTACAACATTCATGATGATGATGATAGTTCAATAATAGAGCTCAGAAAAATTGACATATCAATATAGAACTTGAATTTTGTGTTGAGAGAATATTACATTATAAGACAAGCTTTTAAGTCAAGATGCTTGAATTTAAACAAGTTTTGATAAAGGTTTGAGATTGTACCAAGGCTACAGTAATAGATTTGAGAAATCATAAGCAGATAAATTAAATTTAAAGCTCAGTGTTCTGTAGATTTTGAGATAAGTCTATTTGGTGATCATTTATGTTACTACTCCAGTGAGCAGAGAGACATTTAGGCCTGGGGTTATGTAGCTGACACCATTAGGTAGCTGCGCAGTCCCTCTCCTGGAGCAGCTCACCTTCACCATCCTCTGAGCACAGGCTATTCCCATTTCTGATGTGTTTTTTCCTAGATGCTGAAGAACCTATTTTATTCTTCCCAGTTTTATATTAGTCTTATCCTTTGTCCAAACTTCTCTTTCCTTGAACACATAAGGAAGACACAGATGGATGCCTTCTGCTCCCTGGATCCTCAATTTACTCCAAGTGGAGATATACCACCCTAAGCCCTCCATTTCATCACATACCAGTTTCCTCTGATCTAACTGTGTTATTTCCTTATTCACTCTCTGCTTCCATACCTAAGCAACCTCTCTACTCACTGGTGCCCTTGGTAGGACTAGACATGTCTCCTGTTTAACAATAAGCATTCGGCTCTAGTTATCAGCACAGGGAAAGCAGTAATGTAACAAATGCATCAAAACTGAAATTTATCACAGGAAGCAATGGCAGTGATGACATCAAAGAGAAGTCACACAGAAGCATACACATTAGGGGCATTTCATCATACTCTGATAAAATGCTCATTGAAAGTTGGTTTTAGAATAAGATATATTATTTGATTTCTTAAGTCTAAAGAATTCTAATTTATCACCAATAAAAAGTAACATCTGTTCTATAATCATTTGGTTTAATAATGATTAGTTTGTCTCTGTAAAAAGGGATTTATTTACCAGGGAAAAGCATATAAGGGTCCTTCCATACTTACCCCAAGTACTACCCGGTGAATGAGAGCTTAAATACCCCAAATCATCACCATCCAAAACTTACTTTAGAAAAGTTTAATTTGAAGGAAAATGACACCAACTAGCACAAAGAAGAGATCTGAGAACTACAGTAAAACAAAGAAAAACTGTCAGAGCTGACTAACAAAGAAAAGCTGTTAATATCTACAGGAAGTGTAGGTACTAACAGTGATCAGAGCCAAAAGCACTGTTCTGTTTTACCAAGTAGGGCAACAGAACCAATTTTAAAATACATCTGACTTCCAGCCTGTGATACAATGTCTTCCATTCACTACCACCATCCCTTATTCAGAGTCATCCATTTGCTGATTTGAAAAATATCGAAACATTTGTTGAATGTCAGAGATTGTACTGAGAGCTGGGTAAAACTAGGTGAACAAAACCCAGATGGTCTCTTCTTGGTAAGACGGAAATAAGTAAATCGACATTCTCACCAAAACATAATAGTTGAGAGTCACATTGTCTCACGACAATGACTATAAGAAATAAATTCCTTTCCTTTGAAAATTACCCAGTTTTGGGTATTTTGTTATGAGCAACAAGAAGTGGACTAAGACACCATCCTGGCATGAGCTGCTTTCTGGGATTTTTTTTTACAGTGGCTTCTTAACTAACTTCTTAACTGGTCTGTCTGCGGCTTCTATTCTTACCTCGACAGTTGATTTTAGGGTGTAACAATTACTGTAAAGTCAATGGAATTAGGTCTTTTAAATTCCCATCACTACTATGTCACTACAAGGAAGAAATTGCTCAGCTTAAAGCAGGTCTGGGAACTTTTGCTCCACCTCTACTCACCTTCTAGGTGAGTAGAAATTCAGGGGGAAATTGCCTGCTTTCTGATTAATTCTGTATACTTGCTATTTGTAGCATCTAGCAAGCACTTCTCCTATGTCCCCAGCTCAGCTGGCCTCTTCTTTCATACTTCTCCTCCAACAGTTGGTCAGGAAGTAGAGAAAGTCTGGCACTGACCCATAAATAAATTATTCATAGCAAGTAGACAGCCAGAGAGAGCCCTGTGGGCAGTGCTCCTGAAGATTGAAATTAAAGGAGCCCTAGCACCTGGAAATCAAGAACAGCTGTCCTAAAGGAATCTTGGTTCAGAGGAAAATTAAAGGGATAACTATCAAGAGGAGGCTTGGCCTCAAATTGAAAACAAAGAAAAATAAAATCTTACATGAAAAAACTAGGCCAATAAACTAGGAAAATATTTGGCATAATTTTGATAGACAAAAGGTTAATATGAATGGTATGAGTAAAAATAATATGAATTCTCAAGCTTTAAGTTGATAATAAAAACTCATTCCAATAAACCTGGCACAAAGATGAATATACAGTACATGAAAAAAAATCCACAAAACACATGACAAACAATTGAATAAATATCTTGTAGTACTAACTATAAAGTCTAATGATGAATAATTTAGAAGCTAGAGCAATATGTTTCCTACCAATATAGCAAAGATCAAAATCTCTCCCTCAAATACACATGGAGTTTTTATTTTAGTGATTTTGTTTGTTTTTTGTTGAGAATGCATACCAGAGAACATTTCAACTATTGTCCCCTCCAAAATTCATGTTAAAATTTAACCTCTAGTGTGGCAAGATTGCAAGATGAAGCCTTTAAACGTTATTAGATCATGAGGACTCTGCCCTCATGAATAAATGACTGGATTAATGAATTAATGAATTATCATGGGAGGGAAACTGGGCTTCACAAGAAGATGAGAGACCTGACATGGAACATTTGACTGCTCAGCCCCATTGCCATGTGATGTCATGTCTTGTGCCGCCTCTGGACTCTGCAGAGAGTCCCCACAAGCAAGAAGGCTCTCACCAGACACAGCTCCCCTGCCTTGGATTTCTCAGCCTCCAGAACTGTAAGAAATTTGTTTCTCTTAAAAATTACCCTGTTTCGGGTATTTTGTTATGAGCAACAAGAAATGAACTAAGACACTGTCCTACCATGATCTTTGTGGGACCTTTGCAGTGGTTTCTTGACAAACTGGTCTGTCTGCAGCTTCTATTCTTGTCTCTACAGTTGATTTTCTACAAAGGGATAAGACCACGCCACTTTATAGCTTGAAATCCTTCAATGGCTCTGAATCTTAATTAGATTTGTTACCCCTAGCCTAACAAAATCTTTCTATGGGGTCTAGCACCCCCTGTCAGTTACGGCCTCCGCTTTAGCCCTGCTGTACTCCTTGCTGCCATAGAAAGCTGAAAACAAGTTCCAGCCTCAGAGCCTTCATTCCCACTGATTCCTCTGCTCTGAAGAATTTTCCCATAGGTGGTCCCATGGCTTAATCCCACTTTGCATTTAAATCGCAGGTCAACTGTTATTTCCTCACAGTGGCCTTACCTAATAACCCTTTCAAAAATAGTAAGCCACTCTCCTTCCTCCCTTCCTGCTTTGATTTTTTTCCTAATGTTTACCTCCATTTGCTAGTCTCTTTTTCCTTTTTTTTTTGTTTTTTGAGACTGCTGGATCACAGCAGTGCAATCATAGCCCCCTCCCAGGCTCAAGCAATTCTCCCACCACGGCCTCCTAACTAGCTGGGACTATAGGCACACCACCACACTGGGTTAATTTTATTTTTATTTTTTTGTAGAGACAGGATTTCACTATGTTGCTCAGGCTGGTCTTGAACTCTTGGGCTCAAGCAATCTACCTCGGCCTTGTAAAGTGCTGGCATTACTGGCATGAATCACAATGTCTGGCTCCATTTCATAGTCTTAAAGATAGATATATCATTTGTACTTATCATTATAGGTTTAGGAATTTACCAAAAGAAAATATTAAGGGTGCAAGTGAAACTTTAACACCAATCAATTATTTTTGATAGAAGAAAGAGAGAAATAAAGGGAAAAAAGAGGATGAAAGGAAGAAAGAGAAAAAGCATGCCATAGGTACATGTCAAATAATGAAGCATTTTTTTGGGGAGGGGGGCTAAAACCATCTGTTAATTAATTTAATATGTAAACATTAAAGGTTCTGGTTTCAACTAGTAAAAACACAAAAAAGTGCTCATAATACATGAGTGTCAATAGATAAAATTATGTGTATTATTATAAGTGTATAAAACAAAAGCAATCATAAACATATATGCTTAAAGTAAACATTGGAAGAGAATGCAGTGTTTAAAGAAGTCTTAACTGGGGAAATAGTTTTTTTTGGTAGTTAATTATGGCAAAGTCAAGGTATATCTTTCATAATCTAAAAACAAATTACTTTAGCTTTTAAAAAATCTTTTACTTATCATGTAGCACAGTGATTTTCAAATTTATATTTAGCTATAGAATATTTTTTCAATTCAAAGCTTATCTGAATCCCAAAATGAAAACGAGGATTAAAAAAGGGAAGATACTATTACTGATGCAGAAGTGAGGTCTCTGAGCTCCAGACGTGAGGGATCCTAAGATGCATACACTTAGTCATGCCAGGGCTACTGTTTGCACAGCTCTGGAAGAGATGATTCACATCCTCCCTTGTCTATGTAAATGATGCTCACCAGAGATGTTTGGTGCACAACCTGTACTGCCATATGAGCTAGCCCTGCCTACGGTCTACCCCTAATCACTCACAGGCCCTATGGACATATA